ACTATTAAAATCTACACTAATACTTCCCTTACCGATAATACCCTTGATCGTAAGAGTAGTTAAGCGTACGTAATACGGTTATTTAGAGGAACTATCGTGTAGCGTGCTAATAAGTAGGATACGGTTATAATATTAATAATCCAAGCAGAGCTATTAGCGCTAATATAAGGTATAAAATAGGGCATCTTTATATAACGGCTAGTACTTAGTATAGGAGTAGAATTTAACGATCCGGAATCAAGAATCCTATATAATAATAACTAATGGATTCGGTTAGTTTATTAAGAGATTAGCACGTTAATAACGCGCCTTTACCACGTCGATATCTATAGCCACTAGTTAAATTAAGTAAAGGAATAAGGGTAAATACTCGTAACGTATATTATAAGCGCGGAAATAGTAGTAGACAGGCTAATAAAGGCGTTATACGGCGAGAAATTTAAGATATTTAGGTCCTAGGTGGGCGTGATAGATATACGGGAACGGTTATAGTAAAAATAGCTAGAGGAAGTTCGGATAGAGTATTTAGAGGACTTAGAAGATAAATTTAAGGACGGCTATAGTAAAGAGATTATATAGGTTATATACCTATTATATCTACTAGTTACGAATAGCTTTAATCGCCTAACTAACGTTTAGGGCAATTAGAGGGTGTATCGAACAGACTAGAGTCTTTTTGGGTACGTAACGGGCAGAATTACCAAGATTATAGTCCGGGTAAACGCTTATAGAATCTACACTATATAAAATACGGTTGTAGCGATTCCCTGATAGTCTGGCACAGTTATAATAGTATATAATTACCTCAATTTCATTTTGACCGATTTTGTGACGATTTCGACTACGCTTTATCTGATAGTGTGTGCCTGTATTATTCTGTTCCAGCCCCTATTCGCTGCCTTGCCATGTTGTCGGGTGGTCTTTAGTGAGCACCCGTTAAGACAAAAAGAAAGCAATTCTTGTATATTTATTATCTTAGACTGTCCTTTGATTATGGTTGTTTCGTAATAGCGATATTATATTCGATATTCTCGCGGGTTAAACCGTGTAGTAGTCGGTTATTATGCCCTTACTCGTTATTGGCTTCTCTCTATAACCTTATTTTGGCCTGGATGGCTTATATAATCGAGCGGTTAGAGCTTTATCAAGTATAGGGAGTTACTAACCTAAATAGAGCTTTAGTATTCTAATCCTACCTTAGATACCGTGATACAGGACCTGTCTAGTTAAGGGACTCAATGGGGAGACCTCACGTTTCAATATCGAGACCTCAAACATCACATTTTAGTGGGGCCATGAACCCGCCGCTCAGATATATATGTACCGCACCTATTTTGTATATACACTTTATGTAGAAAATCGCAGGCGATATCGTAAACCTTAACGTATCACTTCCCACACCGTAACTCTGAATCCAACTGCCTAAAACACGATAATATTAAGTCACGATATTCTACACGATATCCTACACAAAATAACCGCCTACGGCTCCGAGATAAGTATTAAGATTTGAGTATTAGGATTGAGTGTTAAGATTGAGTTGGTTACTATATCACCTACGATTATTTACATAATGTGTACATACAAAGTAGGTGCGGTACATATGCATCTTAGCGGTGGCGTCATGGCCCCACTAGAATGTCACGTGTGAGGTCTCGATATTGAATCGTGAGGTCTCCCCATTGAATCCCCTAGTTAATATATAAGCTATAAAATATCAATTTAGAATAAGTCTATAGTATAATATTATTTATTAAACTACATATTATAATATATTTAGTTATAGATAAGTTAATTATATAGTAGTGTTTTAAAGATATAATTAATAGTAAGTATATTATATAATTCGAGGTATATATCGTCTAGACCTCCTAGGAGGTTAGTTAGCTATAGAGACTAAATAGCTAACTAACGTACTACTATAACTTATAAGCCTTACCTTACTAGCGACTATACTACACCTACCCTAGGACTTTAAAGGTTAGCTCGTGAATTCGCCCTATATCCTATTTAATTATTGGATTAGCCTGCTAATCTGTACTTTTCCATATATTTTATGTAGATAACTATGAAGATATATAACGATCCTAAGAACGATTATAGGACTAACCTAGTAGTAATAGCAGTAATAATGGGGACAGTAGTAAGATATAGTAGTCTTATATAAGTATAGGTACTTATAAAGGGTAATAGGTTCTATATATTCGGATATACTTTTACCCCGTAGGGATCTCCTCTTATCCTTAACCAGTTATATTCGTTTATACCCGCGCTAACCTTTAGAAGAGGCCTATCTCGGGCGCTAGTATAGAATGCTATTTTGCTAGTAAAACGGTAGGGCCCCCTAAGCACAATAAGCTACTAAAGTATACACCTATTTTGTATATACACTTCGAGTACCTCAATATAAAGATACAGCACCTTTTCCCCTTAATCTATCTATTATTTTATACACCGCTAATTAAAGGCATTACTAAAAAACTACGACTAAATAACTACTACTAAAATACCACTAAAAACCACTACCTAGTAATTATAATAGCCGATAAACGTCCTTATAGCTCCGACCTACCTTCTAGGGTTCACACCTTACACGAGCAGGGTTTTAAAGCCCTACTTACCCATGCCTACTCGAACGGATATAGTCTTATTATAAACGAATAGTATCCCCGTGGTATAGATCCGATACGTATCACGTACTGTTAGAAAAACGGCCGGGCGCCTATAGCTTAAGATGTCTAAGCCTATAAGTCAAAGCGCCGGAGGACTATAACCTAAATAATAGCCTGCCCTTTTAAGGTTAACCTACGCCGTCGCGATACTCTTAAGTGGTAGGTTATAAAGGCTGTGGATAAGCGTGGAGGTGGTGGTAAGCCGTTAAACTATAACTATAGCTAGACTAAAGCTAGTTCCTTTAATCGATTCCGTGCTTCGGGTCTTATAGTATATAAATATATGATTATTCGTATATAGAATAGCGGCGTTTAACCCCGCGAGATCGTGACGAAGCTCCGGATCCTAGAATCCTTTTCGGAATCTTCTTTAGGTTAGTAAAGTTAGTAAGATCTAGTTCTATAGATTATAGGGTTAGATATCACAAACCTAATTACTTATTACCGCTAAGAGGAGCTTACTAGTAACACTCTAATTTAATAGCTTTATAAAGTAGGTTTATCTCCCGCTCTTAACACTTAATTATATACTAACTTATTAGTAAATTAATACGAAAGATAGCGTTTTCTTCCGTGATTAACACGATTAACTAGGTCGACTCTAATATCTCTTTATCGCGCATAAATTGGTAATCCCCCTTATATAATAAGCCCCCGATGTCCTTATTATCGATAAAACCTATAAGACTAATAAGTTTAGGATACCGCTCCTTAATCTCTATAGGATATCGTCGCTACGTAAATCCTTCTTAATTAGTATTAGTTTCCTATATAGAGAAAAGGAGCACTAATATACCTAGGCGCTCGAGGCTCTAACTAAGCATCTTTTAGGCGAGGGTTTATAGTTACCACGATATATTATTATAGACCGGGAGCGTACCCTAATAAATACCCTTAAATCCTATATAAACTTAAGCTTAGTCTCTAATATCCTATACCGTTAGTATATTAATATAAATATACTAGTAAAGACTAAGGGCCTTTTTCCTAAGCCTATAAGGCTGGCTAGTAGCAGGGTTAAACGCTACCCTTTATTTTATGCTTTTTTAGAGGATTAGAACGCGTTAAGTTTAATCCTAATAGTCGAGGTATTCACGGATCGACTTTAAAGTTTCTACCAACTAGGTAATTACCTAGAAAACGCAGTTAATTACGTCCTAAATACCTAGATTAATCCCTTTAAAGAGAAGACCGTGGATTACTTCTTAAATACTATACCTTATTTTAGTAACTAAACCACCTCTACTATAAAGTCTTTACACGCTAGCCTTAAACGGTATCTCTATACCTTTATAAGCGATCTAACTACTATTTTACGTAGCCTATAGTTATATTAGAGTAACTAATAGGCGGACCCCTTTTAAAGAGCTAACGCCGAATTAATAAAGTGGAATTTCCTACTAATAGAGTTCTTTTCAGCCTTATTAACTAGTAAGTTATCCCGTAAGCTCTTAAACGGCTAAAAATCGAGCTCTTAACCCTAGAAAAGGTACGTAGGGACTAGCTACCTAAACTGCCGCTAAGGCCCTATAGTCCTTATACTATTATAATCTTTTTAGGGTTACCTTACTAGTATATACTATTTAAGTACCGCCGTAATACTAAGCCGATTAGTATAACCTTAATTAATCGGCACTAGTAATAGAATCGTTAAGATATAACTACTAGTATTACGCTTCTGCTTCTAAGCCTTAAGTCCCTAGAGCCGATAATAATACACGGAAAACGCCGGCTAAAAGGCGCTATTAATATATTTAATACAGGGAAGAAGCGGGGCAAAAGGAAGAATAGTATTAAACGGCTTCCTTTAGCCTTTAAAATCGCAGCTATAGAAGAGTAGCACGATACTATACTACCCCCTACTACCCTCCTATTACTAATAGCCCCTCCTGCCCTAACTCTATACGAGGCGGGTATATAGGCTCCTTAGTAGTCTACCCGGGTTTTCGAGGCTATAGAGTTAATAGATAAGCCTAACTTAGAGACGTATAATTTAGAGCTTATTTCTACTAAGTTTAAGGGTAAAATAGATTCGTTATTAAGGAACGCTAAATAAGAGGCTCTTAGTTAGCAGGAAGATAAAACAAAGAAAGAGGAAATAGAGGTGGTGCTATTTATTCTTAGAAAATAGGGTTATCGTGATAGTTAGTAATAGTTATTATAGTAGTTTAGTGCTTTAGTTTGTATTTACCCTTTAATTAACTCTCTACTACTATATCTTTATATTTAGGTACTCGAAGTGTATATATAAAATAGGTATATACTTTAGTAGGTTATTATACTTGGCGGGCCCCACCGTTTTACTAGCAAAATAGTATTCCTTACTAGCGCCCGAGATAGGCCCTTTAAAAGCCTGGTAGAGGTGTACGAAGTCCCCTCGCTAATTAGGATGTCTGAAAAAGTCAACTAATTAACAGATTGTAGGACCACTCTCTCTATTTAGGTTCAATCTGATGAATCAGGCAGACATCACGCTGTGTGATAATTAGGACGTTCGTGTGACGGAGCTTTATGTCCTGGCAGTGCGACCTCTGAACACAACGTGGTTGGCTGCCCAACAACGAATATCTAACCAGGACAACATAGGTACCTCTGGCACCACTCCCTTGCACGAACTGTAATCATCAAGACAAGGAAGACGTCATCAACAACACGCACCAGGGGGCTTTTTTTTTGGAACTACTTCAAGCCATCCTTGACTTCAAGTTAATTTTTGCCCTTCGCCCTGGAGTCTAAGGAGTATAATCCTCCAGCCCCAAAAACGATGATTGCTCCAACCAACGTTCCTGTGGCGAGCTGATTTCCAAAGAGCCATATACTCAATAACAGGCTGACAAGTTTTCGAATGTTTAATACTATTGTGACGGTTAGCGCTGACGACGCGGCCGCCAACCGGTTAACGCCCCGTATGCAAGCATACTGCGTCAGAACATTAATAAGGAGATAGGCCAATTGGCTGGGGATGTAAAGACCGTCCCGTGAAGCTTGACTAACACTCCTGGAAGCGAAAGCTGCGATATAGGCCCAGGATGGCAGGGACAGTGGCTGGCTCCCCGCCAGTCGTGCAAGCTGCTTAGCCATAGAAGGCATAAACGGGAGAAACAATGGAAGGGAGAGGAGGTGAGAATAGAATAAATTCTCCTTCCACTGCGGACCATACGTCCGGTATGTCTCTTCAGTGTAAAGACCCATGATGGCCGAGAGGACCTGTGCAACGAAAAGTATGACGAGACCTGTGCTGAACGAAGGTTTGGACGACCGGGAACTTGTGCTGTCGAGAACATCCTGCTCCGCGGCTCTGTCGACGTTTATACCAGCCTGGGCGCGATGTTGAATGTTAGAGCCTCAAGTTCGGGAATGGGACAGGAGAACCTTGCCTTATCCTTAGAGTCCGACCATGCAGCAGTGATGACGCCAACTGTAAGCAAAACAACGGCTGTGACCTGTGTCTTTGAGTATCTCTTGCCGTACAGCCACCCAGCGAGCATGGTGGTAATGCTGCCACCGGAGCGGAGGATGATGTGAACAGGGACGGATATATCGTAGCTAAAGGCATGATTGTTCATCACGTTGATGCTGAAAAACAGTACAATATTGACAACCCAACGTCGCAGGGGTACCTTGTTACGCTGAAGGAAGAACGGCGGCCGAGATCGATCAAATTGCGAGATGTATCCGGTTACAGCCACGAAGAGAAATTGAACGAAGGTCAACAATGTGCCTGAAGCTTTGTTAGAACGCCCAGACAAAAAGTTGCGGCCCGACGACGAAGAAGCCTACCGCTTAATGGCTCGACCCTATCGACCAGTGAGATATTATGGTTAGTCGCGCTGCTTCGTATCTGAGCAGCCGGGCTATCGTAGTCTTACTGAATTATGGCTTCCAGGGCATAAACCTACGTTCCAAGAGGGTCAGCGAGGCGGCTCCCTGCCCTTCTCTGGACCGTGTGCAGAAGCATGCCCGGACCATGAGTGCCGGTGGAGTGAAGCCACTGACATATAGATTTTAGACACTTACATTCGAGCAGCAGCCCCCAAAGATTAGGCCAAGCGTCACGCCAATAACCAAGAACTGAGGGACTGTGTTGGCCACGATGTGGCTGACAAGCTTCATGAAGCTGCTCGACGTCGACTCGTCGACTCGGCTTTCTTGGTTCCCGTGGAGCTTGATAGGCGGCCCAGTGCCCCAATCTTCGGATTTTGGCGTCCGAGGCATGGCGATTTGCTGTCGGGCAGTTAAGCGGCCCTTTTGCGTCGAGGAGCCTGGAGTGCCTTGCGGCAGTTCGCGCCTTCGTGATGTTGATGTCGTTGTCATCAAGGCAGCCCAAGACTTCTGTAGAACACAGGTGTGTGTAAAAGCCACTACAGGAATACAATAGTGATCCGTGGTACCGGCTTCTCGTGAAGACTGCGGAGACAGTCGGGCAATACATCAAATACAGCGTATTATTATTAGCGCCCTACTAGGGAGCCAGTACAGATAACTATGTTGCCAGTAAAACGGGGCCGCCAAGCATGATAAGCTACCTATGTACTGACCTATTTTGTATGTACACTTAAGTACCTAAACACACAGATAGAGTCTCTCTTTTCAAGTTCGAGTAGGCGTGGGTAATAAGGGCTTCGAAGTCCTGCTTATATAAGGCATAAACCTTAGAGGGTAGGCCGGAGCCGTAAGGTCGCTATGATTCTTCAGCCATTATATGTCGAATACAGCGTAACCGTAATAGAGTAGATATACGATAAGAACGGTCAGATTGAGAGGTTCCAAATTGATTTGTATTAAAGCCGAAAAACGTTGTAAAACGTGTTATAAACCGTGTCAGTTTTGGAGGCGTTTTTAGATGTTAAAGGAGCCTTCGATCACGTCGCCCGTCCTAAGCTACTTAGGATTTTTTAAGAACTCTAACTACCCCCGAATCTAGTTAAATAGGTAGCCTCTTTTACAGAAAACAGGCGTATCTAACTAGCCTTTAAGGGGAAGGTTTATTAGCCTACCCCCTTAACTATAAGGGTTCTATCAGGCTCCCCGGTTTCCCCTATCCTATTCCTGATTTATATTAGGAAGGTTATAGCGGGACCGGATTTTCAGGGTCTTTAGCTCTCCTATATCGACGATTTTCAGCTACCTATAGCGTCTATATTAACTATGAAAAACTATAAAACCCTGAAAAAAGCCGTAGCCTCCCTTTTCGACGTAGTAAAAGTTAACTAAGTCCTTTTAACTACCGAAAAACAGAGCTTATTCACTTCTATCAAAAACGCTCTAAAGAAAACGCCCTGTTATTATAGGGGGGCATATAGTTAAACCTGCGCTAGGTGCTATTAGGTGGCTACGGGTCTAGTTTAATCCTAAACTATTATTTAAACCCCACGTCGAAAAACGCCTAAACTTAGCTTCAGGGGCCCTAAATAGGTTTTATTGGCTAGCTAGCTCGTAGAGGGGCCTTTCCTTTAAGGGCCTAAGGCAGCTATATATAGCCTGTATTGCCTTATTAGCTGACTTTGGCTAATAGCTCTGGTAGGACCCTAAATCACCGAAAAAGCACCTAGTAGACCGCCTAGAACGCCTATAGTACAGCGCTTTAGTTAGGGTCTTAGAGGCTTTTAGGGGCCCCCCATATAGCGTTTAGAACTCGGAGCAGCAGTTCTCCTAGTAGCGGTTCGGTTCACTAGGTCTAATAGGCTATATATCTTTAGGACATTAAAGTTCCTCACTAACAGAATCATCCTTTCTATAACTCACATTAGCAGCCCCACTAGTGTTAGTGCGTGTAGCGGCGCCATACTAAAAGCCTTAATAGCCGCCCTACTCACAGGAATCACCCTGGCCTTCGGGCTCGGTGTAAACCGCTGTAATACACCTAAAATCGGCGTAAAGGGTATTATTAGATAGCTAACTCCCCGCTTTACCTAGCGGTACTAGATATAGCTAGGCGGGCACGGCACGTAATCCTATAGTAGCCTTAGAAGGACTCCTGTAATACCATCTATACCCCAATAAGATCCCCGAAAAACGTTTCTTAGACCTGCTATATCTAGACGGAAGAGGGCCTAAGCGCCTCCCCCCGCTAACTAATAGGACCTAAGCCTAAGCTAAAGCCTAAGATAAGGGCGCCGATATACCGATAAATATATCGGTACCGACTAATAAGAGTAACGCTAAATCATTCGCTATAAAAGCCCGAAAGTGATTATAATAGATAATAGAAGACCTTATCCTATCCCTGTAGTAGAAAGCCTAAGCCGTCGATATCCTAATCTAGGTAGTCGAATAGGGTATCTTTACGACGAGAGATACGCCGAGAGCCAATACCGCCCTTACGGGATAACTCGGTAATAAATTTATCGGCCTAATTAAGATAAGGGTCCTGACCCGAGTGGCCGGTATAGACCCCTTTAGGGTGCCGGGAGGTAGCTTCTAACCCTAACCGAATAGTATAGCACCGTCCGGTATAACTAATCCTAGCCTACCGCCTATTAGAGTACCCCCTATAAAGCCTATAGGACTACTAATTCTATAGCCTACGAGCTAGTAAACCCAACCCCCTAAGTAATAGGATTAGACTATTATAGAGAAGAAGGGGAAAAGAAATAACACGATAGCCCTAAAACGCCTATTAGGGGACCCCTAAGAAAAGAAAAAGAAAGATAATAGGGTCTTCCTTTAATTCCCCGCTAAAACTATACTATAGTTAGAACGATAAAAGGCTATAACGATTATACGACGCGCGGTACTAAAGATCGGTAAAGTGGACGATTAGGATATTAGTATAGTAGAATATACCCGTCTAGGAGCGGCGATATACCCGAGGAATTCCTAGGTAAGGACGAAAATCCTAAAGGCCGAGGAAGAGATCCGGTCCGCCACGGGAGCTCTTTATATTTCAGGGGCAGAGACTTAGTATACCTTTATTGTCTACGAGATTATTAACTTTATCGATAACTAAGAGGTTATAAGGGCTCTTATAAAAACAAAGGCCCTAAAATAAACTAGACTAAAACTAGCCGCGTATTAAAACGTAGTAACCCGTATAACTAAGGCCTTTATAGCTAGTATATCTCCTTTTAGATAGTACCGAAAAGACGGTTCTGCCTATTCGAGATATCCTTGCTAGCGAAGCCCTAAGACGCTAAACCGGCTATAGCCTAGTATAATAAGTGCTAGGGATACTACCCCTGATATACTTATTATTATTATTATCGATCTTACTGCGCTATCTAAACTAATCTATAGGAGCCTTTCTAAGCTATACAGTCCTTCTCGGGTGGCTATAGAGGGGAAAACCTAGGTAAAACCCGGGGAAAACCTCTATATACTTCCTTAGGTGGAGTGGTACCGCTATAGGGCCGACGTGGCCCTGGTTTGTCTCTGCTATATATCTGGATTATACCTTTAGGCTAGTGGCTGACGGGAAGTGTGGTAGGCTAGTGGTTAGGTAGGTTAGCCTAAGCTAATCGTTAGCGATGGAGTAGAGGCTAAGGGGGTGCCGCCGCGCCTTCGCGGTACGGCGGCTATAACCCTTTAGCCTTAGTCTCCCTACGTCTCCGAGGATTATATCTTTTATTCCTTCCGTTCGGTTAATAAAAAGTATAGGGGAGGTAGGCGCCTCCTGCCTCCTTTAGATAGGTTCCTGCTATATCCGGTGGTAGGTAGGGAGGATAGTGCTTTACCCTATTATAAAAATTAGATAGTTAATATCCTATAAGGTCTTCGTGCCTCTTTTCCTCTCTTTTTCTCCTATAATACTAACGAGTTCGTTATAGGTTTTCCTCCCGATCTATACCCGCTTATAGTGCTGTAGGCTTGTCGTTACGGCTCTATACTAATAGTAAACCCCTTTAGTTTTCCTTATTATTTTCCTATTATAAATTAACTATAAGTGCTTTATAGGTGGCGTCGCGGTAGCGTGGTGGCGTGGGCTTAACTGGGTAGTATAGTATTAATTTATATATATAACTAAGTAATCCATAGTGGTAGTATAATATAAGTTCTCTTCGTGGTGTAGTGGTGCCTCAGCGGTAGCGTGCTAACAGTCGTAGATATCGTCCCCTAATAATAATAATACTAATAATAATAATCGCCGCTACGAACGCGGCGTAGTTTATATTATACCGTATATAGGCCTTAGTAGTATCGGGGTGGTATCGTAGCGCTAATATAGGGTAGTTATATTCGTTATAGTAAACGCTTAGGTATATATCCGGATAATGTAGAGGCTTATACTAGTATTACTTGAATACTCGCGGCCTATTACTAATATACTAATAATCGCTATCTATATAAGGATATAAGTCGCCTTGGTACCGTAGTAGTCCCTTATATACTTCGAGGTGGGTATAGCTAATAGCTTAATAGATCCCCCCCGCTACTAAGAAGCAGTAATAACGCCTTATAGATATTTATTAGGCGTATATAGCGGTAAAGACCGCTAGTAGGGCTAGTATTACTACTATAAGTATCCCCCTTTATTGCCGTGGTAATTTCATACTAATAAGATATAGGCTAAGGAGCGCCTAAGGACGGCGTCTCGGTCTTTTAGCCGGGCCTTAAACCGGGCGTTACCTTTTAGTCGCGGTCGCGGCGGCACCGCGCCGGTAAAGGTATAGGAGTTATCTTATTAGATAAAATGCTTAGAGGGTAAGATAGATCTAATCTTAGATCACCTTATAAGTGGCTCTCCTTTAGTCTCGCTACGGCCTCCTAGCGGTATTAGTTAACTAACTAGGCTTAATAGGGTCTTAAGTATATCGAAAGTGGTATTAACGCCTCCGAGGGAGGTAAAGACGATAAGTAATAGCCGGTGCCGTAATAGTACTATATCGATACTGCTAGGGTCCCGGCTTATAGGGCCCCTATCTTAATAATTAATTAGTTATCGTACTACCCTGCCCTTACTCCGGTCCCGCTCCGTTATCCCCGGTATCTTCGTAGGCTTCTATAACATTAAGGGCGAGGCGAAAGTCCTTAAGCCTTTTCCTTTATAAAAACCACCGTGTAATTACCCCTACCTTGGTATTATATTGTAGGGCGTTATATAAATCTTCTTTAGTTATAAGCGGTCTCCCGACGGCGCCGAAGAGGTCCTTACGGTCCTCCTCGGTTACCTCCTAGCACTAAAGCACTATATATTCCGCCGTCTCCGCCCCTCCGTCCTTACAGGGGCACCGCGGTAATAGGAAGCCCGGTACTCTTATTTTAGCGAGGAAGGCTTATAGGCTTAGTTTTTCGGTACGGATTTAGGTAAACGTAAAGCTTAGTGGCTTAAGGAGTTCCTTATACTTCTTAAGGGAGCGTTATATTAGGAGCCGGTCCGGCGCTACTATAGCGTAGGTATAGGACCGCCGTGCTTCCGTCTAGGCTTAACCCTAGTTCCTTAGAAGGGCCTTCCGCGGGGGCGAGGTTCTGGCCTAGGTTATT